TCAAGTTGAGGGTTTGGATTTTGATGAAACTTTTGTTCCTGTTGCTAGAATTGAAGCAATTAGACTTTTGTTGGCTTTTGCTACTTCAAAAGGTTTTAAATTGTATCAAATGGATGTGAAAAGTGCTTTTCTAAATGGTTTTATACAGGAGGAAGTTTATGTCAAACAACCACCAGGTTTTGAAAATCCTGATTTTCCCAACCATGTTTTTAAATTGTCTAAAGCTTTGTATGGTTTGAAACAAGCTCCTAGAGCATAGTATGATAGGCTTAAGAACTTTTTTCTTGCGAAAGGTTTTACAATGGGAAAGGTTGACAAAACGCTTTTTGTTCTTAAGCATGGTGATAATCAACTTTTCGTTCAGATTTATGTGGATGATATCATCTTTGGTTGTTCGACTCACGCTTTGGTTGTAGATTTTGCTGAGACTATGCGCAGGGAATTTGAGATGAGCATGATGGGTGAGTTATCGTACTTTTTGGGATTGCAAATTAAGCAAACACCTCAAGGTACTTTTGTGCATCAAACGAAGTATACGAAGGATCTTTTGAAACGGTTCAAGATGGAAAATTACAAGCCAATTTCAACACCAATTGGTTCTACAGCTGTGTTAGATCCTGATGAAGATGGTGAAGCTGTTGATCAAAAGGAATATAGAAGTATGATTGGATCTTTGTTGTATCTAACTGCTTCTAGGCCAAACATACAATTTGTTGTGTGTTTGTGTGCACGCTTTCAAGCTTCTCCTCGTGCTTCACATCGTCAAGCGGTCAAGCGAATAATGAGGTATTTGAATCATACACTTGAGTTTGGAATTTGGTATTCTACTTCATCTTCTATATGCTTAAGTGGATATTCCGATGCTGATTTTGGGGTTGTAGAATTGATAGAAAAAGTACTAGTGGAACATATCATTTTCTTGGTACATCATTAATTGCATGGTCTTCTAGGAAACAATCTAGTGTTGCTCAATCAACTGCTGAATCTGAATATGTTGCTGCTGCTAGTTGTTGTTCACAGATTCTTTGGCTTTTATCTACTTTGAAAGATTATGGTCTTACTTTTGAGAAAGTACATCTCTTTTGTGATAATACTAGTGCTATTAATATTGCTAAGAATCCTGTTCAACACTCACGCACAAAGCATATTGATATTCGTTTTCACTTTTTGAGGGATCATGTTGAGAAGGGAGATGTTGAATTACAGTTTTTGGACACAAAGTTGCAAATTGCTGATATTTTCACTAAACCTTTGGATTCTAATCGCTTTGCTTTTCTTCGTGGTGAATTGGGTATAATTCATCCTTTTGGCATGGTTTGAGGGGTAGTTTGTACCTCATGGTTTTATCAAGCAATAATATGACAATGAGAAAAATTGATAAAAGAGAGCTTTGTTTATGCATATGATATTTTCTTGTGCATGCTAGCGATACTTTGAAGGTTTATTTGTCTCTAGCATAACTTGTATGTATTCTAGTCTTTTCATGAGATTTAGATTTTGCTTTTAAGGGAGATGATGCATGACACTTAAATTCTATACTTGAATTAAGAAAATATGCAATATTGATGCTAGCATATGGTTTGATTTATAAATGCTTTATATATATGCTTTATTGACTTGTTATTCCTCAAATAGCTTTAATTGCTCATTGTGAAAAAGAGAATAAAAAATATGAAAAAAATTAATACCGAATCCTTGGAAACAGTCTTGACGACAAGGACGTATTCGATGTGAGCAAAATAATGGGTGCCAAATCCCTGGAAACAGTCTTGACGACAGGGACGTACTCGGAATAAAAGAGAAAAATATGAGCAAAAAGGCTCAAGAAAAGAAAAAGTTTAAAAAATTCTCTTGGTTATTTTGTGCTAAAGGTTATTTGAAAAAGAGTGATAAATGCAATAGGTATATGTGTTTAGTGTTTATTCTTCAACCTATGTGCTTGTTAAGATGTTGCATTATAAATCATATGAAATCATGAATTTTGATTGTTGATTCAAGCTTAATTGTAAAATCTTTGGTTCATGGTTATACTTTAATGCATGCTTGTTATATTATGGATAGGTTCATCTTCTTTTTATTGCAATACATGACTTGATATGCTATATGTATGCTAAGCTCTTAAACATTAATGAACATAATTCCTATGCTTGATGAAATCATTGTCAAAAGGGGAGAAGTAATGTGAAAATTTTTGGATTATTTTTGGAGAAGCAAGGTAAATTTTTAGAGCGTTGTTGAGAATAGGCATGTTTTTGGTTCAATTGGGAATTTCTTTCTTTTAAAAAGGGGGAGAAGTTTTCTTTTGGATTTTCGAGCACGATGTGTACATTTGTACGAAGTGTGCTTTTTACCACTTTTGTTTTTATTTTTCCAAACACCAAAACATTTTTATGAGTTTGCAAATGTGTTCATCAAGGGGGAGATTGTAAAATCAAAGGTGTTTTTGATTATTATTCTGTGATGAACAATTGGCATCGGAGATTATTGGTTTTGATATTTGAAATTTATTCACGAAGTGGTTTTGGAGATGATTGGATTTTCAGGTGATCGCAGGATTCGTCATTTTATGTGACCGGACAGACCGGGCTCTGGTAGCCGGTCAGACCGGCGTGTGTCGCGCGGTCAGACCGGCGTAGCCCGCGGTCTGACCGGCTGACACTATGTCGGTTTCGGTTTCGGGTTGTTTGTTTGGATATCCGAGTTTATTTCATGATTATGACTTCTAGATGGATACTATACGTATGTAATACTATTGTTTGCTGCTAATGAGTCAAGTTAGAGATAGCTTGGTCTCAGAATATGGTTTCTTTATTTATTCCATGTGTAGGTGACTCGATGTCTCGGGAGAGTATTTGCGTTGATGGACCGGGAGTCTGCTTGGGGATAAGACGACGTCCGTGGTGGTCAGAGATCATGCGGGATACTTAGGCTAGAGTTGATGCACGTGGTTGATGGAGATTCCATATGGCATACGATGGAGTTATTGTGTGCGTATGGGATGCAGAGTCGAATATGGAAGGAGTCCAAATTTGGTACGATTGGTTATGTAAAATTTCTTTCTTGTACTAGAGGGTTTCCTAAGGTGTTTAGGACTCTTAATATGAGTTTGGTTCGTGGCTTTAGCCTGCCTACCTCATATATAAATAGAGGGGGAGCGTGAGACTTCCCGGTATCGCTTTAGAGAGCAATTGAGTTGAGTTTTGAGTTAGGGTTTCGAGTTTAGTCAAAATTTTTATAAGAAGTGCTATTGGTGCACTTTGTAAACACAGAGAGAATAAATAAAGTCGTCATCCACTTTAAGAGTTCTTCGATTTGTGTTTCACCGGGTTTCGACGGTTTAACCGGTAACTCACCGGCGGTCAGACCGGTGGCATAGCGGCGGTCAGACCGGCAGGAGCACGGCGGTCAGACCGGCGGCGGCGACAGGCGCGGCGAGCAGCTTCGGTGGTCACACCGGTTGATCTATACCGGTCAGACCGACGGCATCCGAGCGGTCAGACCGGCAGGGCAACTTCGGTCAGACCGATCTCCGTCGATTTCGAGGGTAACTTTTATTTCCGCTAAAAGTTTTCGGTTTTTGGGTATACCAACCATTCACCTCCCCTCTGGTTGGCTTAGTTATTGTGATTCGATCCTACATTGTAAATGCTCTTAGGTCATATATATATATATATATATATATATATATATATATATATATATATATATATATATATATATATATATATATGTATGTATGTATGTATGTATGTATGTATGTATGTATGTATGTATGTATGTAACGGCTAGCTCTTCAATAAAAGTCGTTGTAGATGACCAACACCGGCCATATCTGTAATGGCTTATCTCCTCTCTATAGGCGCCGTTTATGATCATCACTGACAGTTGACTTCTACGTACATCTTTAACGATAAATAAAAACAGCTATTACAGATATAGTAAGCTATAACGGGCCTCTTTGAGTCATTCCAGATGGCATGTTAGAAATGTGAGGTTATGTAGTAATGACTGTATTTTCGATTGACTCTTTTTTCAATATTTATAGTTGAAATATTTCTAAATCGGTTTTGTATTTCACTCGCGATAGATTGTTGGCTCCTATCTTTCGATTTTTCATCAGTATGACCTTGCATTAAGATTCGTGTTACTGTAGACCCAACTTACTATTACACTCAGGTAGGGGTGAAAATAGTAACGGTAATTACTGGCCGACCGGCGTTCGTTTTCGACTTTCTACCGGCCGAGCCATATGAAAATGGTAATCGACCGAAACAAAAATGGAAATAGTAAAAAATATAGAAATAAAAACGGAAATGGTTTTGTTGTTGTACCGATCGTTTCGTTATTTACCGTATTCTTGTGGAAATTACTGTTTCTTATAATATGGTAATTAACGTATTCTAAATATGTCAATATTTATAGGGCATGTCTATACTTGACCCACAGCTTATAGATTGACTGACTCTTCAATCAAATCTCTAACTTTTGTGCATGACTAAAATGAAGTTAATTTATAATTTATATAGTATAAGTTTGAACTTATGTATACATATAACATAACATACTTATGTAAAGTTAAATATATGTTTTTATAGTTTAATGTTTCTGTAGTTTTTACCGGTTTTCAATATGTACCGACATGTTTCCGTCCGTATTGTTCCGTTTCCGGTTTTCTGATATTTCCGATATCATTTTCGTTTCCGACTTTACCATTTCCGATTTTGTTTCCGAGAAAAATATGGTTACAGAAATGGTTGAGGCCGTTTTCCGATCGTTTCCGACCGTTTTCATCTCTACACTCAGGTACATAGCACTTATACTTAGTTATAGAAAACTTGCACTTAGTTACAGAACATACACTTAGTTTCAGAGAACTTACATTCAGTTATAATGTGCCAAAATGATTGTGAATTTTGACTTTTTTATTTCATTTAAAACGGGTTGTCCCTTTCTAAATCTATATATAGAAAAATTAATAGGTATAATCCCTTTCTAAATTGTATTTCTACCGGAAATCTTTTTATTTACCGTAGACCACTCACCAAGATTGGTAACATATTCATTATCACGGCAATCAATTCGTAACCCCCACCACACACACACACAAAAAAAGAAGAAAGGAAGAAGGTAGCATATATACTGTATAGACCGAAAGTTCGTAACATCCAACGTCAACATTTCCTCAACGTCTCTCATCATGCACCAAGATTATTATCCAACGGCAACGCGCCCAACAAAATCGGTCGCGAGGTACGTACGTACTTAACACGATCGGTTGTGGTAGATGCACTGGTTGCCCCTCCCGGTGTACGATCCCCCTCGCGCCGGGCAGCTGCCGATGCACCTCTGCCGGTCGGCCACCAGCGACGGGTTGACGTTGCCACCACCCCGCGCCTGCAGGACGCGCCGGTGGTGTACTCCTCCATGCCCGTACTCCACGCTGCCTGCCGCCGCCGCCACCATCATCATCCCGCCGACGACGCCGCCGGCGTCGGCCTCCACCCACGGCGCCACGGTGCTACCAAGAGCCGCCTCCGCCGCCGTCGCCGTCGCAGCGTCCTTGCCAGCCACTAGCTTGGCCGCACTGGCTGCTGGTACTAGTAGCGTCGTTGCAGCTGCAATTAGGAGAAGAAGAGTACTACATGCTGTTGCGGCGTTTCTCGCCATTTTCCTTCACGTACGCACGCAGTAGTGACGGCACACGCAACACGGCTGAAGCCAATATATAGAGATTTCCTCCATCCAGAAAAAAAAAATATCTCAAGATGCTGATAGCTCACGATACTAAATCGTTTTTAATTATTGGGTCTATGTGGACAGAATAGACATTATTAGATCCAACGATCGAAAATAATTTAGTACCGTGAGATACCAATGTCTCGAGGACCGAAGCAAATCTCCAATGTATAATGTACGCGATCGAGTAATCGCCGATCTCTCTCCAATCAGCGCCGGTGGTTGGCGCCGTCGTGACATGCATGTGAGCTCGACGTACGGCCAACCGGCTATAGTCACCATTAATGTAGCATAAATAAGAGACCATGCATTATACATATACGAGTTTCCGTTTACCCGTAATATATGTTGTTTTTGTTTGATCGGAGGACGTGCATGGCGGCTGGCTCCTAGCTACCGTTGTCATGCTGTGTGCATCACAATTAGTAGATGATTAAGTAAGTATCAAGGGGAAGGAGGCGCCAATTAATGGACCGATATATATGCATTTGTCAAATCCTAGTTCGTGCCAATGGTTACAACAAATTAGGTCCACCTACCAATGGTTACAACAAATTAAGTCCACCTACTGACGTGACGCGAATCGACGGATATCGTGGATGGCAAACTTTATGCAAACCATATTTCATTCAGAGGGACGATTTCCGGACTCCTAAACAACACGATTTTTTTTTCGAACGCGCAAAAGAATTACACGTCAATATATTAGCAGGAAAAGAGTTTTTGTTACACAAAGCAATCAGCCAAACTGGCTTATGCCTAAAAAGGGGGGGAGACTTGAAGCTAGGAACTACTACGACGGTTAAAAACGCAACTCCAAACAGCGGGAGGAGGCAAAGCCACGCTACACTCCCAAGAAATCCCAAAAAAAGCAACGCCGGCTAAAGACCACAGCTGGCCCTCCGAGCGGATGTACTCCAGAACCACTGCGACCGAAGCGAGCGCAGAGTCGAAAACCCTGGAATTTCGTTCCTTCCACAGCTGCCAGGAGACTAGGAGTACCAAGGAGTCGAAGCCGCTGTGGAGGTACTCAGGTAAACATACCCTGGAGGATGACCACCAATCCTGAAGCCAGCTGCCACGAGAGGGAGAGAGGGCAGCCCAGCCAGGAGGGGACAACACACGGAGCCAGACCTACCGAGCGAACACGCAATCGATGAGGATGTGGTTCGCTGTCTCAAGCTCCTGAGCGCAAAAGGAGCAAGCAGAGTGGCTATCGATACCACGCTTTTGGAGAAGATCGGCAGTCCAGCAGCACTGCTGAAATGCAAACCAAAGGAAGAACTTGCATTTAGCAGGGCCCTTCGCGGCCAGAGTAAGTCGGCACAAGCAAAAGAGTGCTGGCCAAGGAAGAACGCCCGATACGCCGATCGCGCTGAGTAGCACTGGTCACCCGTCCAACGCCAGACGAGGTGATCCTCAACACCCGGCGAGAAAACAACACGATTTAAAAAAAACATTATACATATGAATTTTCTAGAAAACTGCTTTAAATCTATTTTAAAATTTTGTAATAGTTAATGTACCTCGAATGGTTATAACAAAATTATTGAGCTAGGCCCTCAATTTATGGCAACATACGGTAAGAAGGTAAGTGTATGACGTGGAGCAAAAGAGTACTTAGGCCTTGTTTGTCATGGCTTAAGATCTCATATTCATTATGGATTTGAAGTTTCACTACTATAAAAATGTTCATAGGGACCGGTCATATAGGTGCAGGTTTTTAGATAAAACCGGCACCAATGACCCTTCCGTCAACGGTCCGATAATTGAACAGGTGTCGACCATTCATTAAAACCCGGCATCAATGACTTTAATAATTAGTGCTGATCAATTGGTGCCAGCACCAAAATCGGCACCTATTAGACCTTCCGAACCGGTACCTGTAAGACTTTTTGTAGTAGTATTTGTAAGTCAAATTATAGTGGTCTAAAATTATATACTTCATCTAAAATGAAAATGAAAATTATTCATTTAATATTATAAATGTAACATATATCCAGATCTATGGATTTGTGTAGTTAGAAATACCCAGGTTTAAACATTTAGATCCAGAGCTCTGTAAATCAGGGTCTTAATGACTTTGTAAATCATTGTACAAAGACTGTTTGTGGACTGACTAATTAATATGTCTGTACATTCATTTCCAAAATGAATTAGAAAAGGTTGTCTGCTTGCACCCTTAGAATGAGTACAATAAAGTTACATAAACGGTTGTACAAGTTGTCGCATCACATTTATACTTATGTGAAGGAAAGATGAGAGAAGAGAGAAGAAAAGTGAGCTACAGTTTTATAGCCAGCAACAACACAGGATCTTAAAAAACTATGCGAGAGATTAGTACGGATTAGATATTAATAATGCATTATATGTCTACAACTTGTATGAGTGGGTTATTATGTTGTCTAGATGATATTTTAATTTTTGGAGTTAGAAGTTGACTATATTATTAAACTTGTTCCTACAAATCACGGCCTATTTCAACTTTTCAAGAGTTATGCCTGGAAATTGAACGAAATTATTGTTAATCTTTGTAAATGGGCCATATATTCGACCTTACCATGGGCTTTACAATAGTGCCTAGACAGAAGTCCATATAGTATATGGACAAATTTATTGCAAGTCTATTTGGGGAAATATCCGATAAAAATTTCAAAACCATCAAATACTCTAAAAACCAAACATAACGGTTTTCTAAATTCACTAAAAGTTTTCTAGAGAGATATAAGCATGGAGTTATATTACCACCTAATGAGAAGTCCAAACTCAATTTATTTGTTAGGAGAGAGAAATTTCAGGTGAATAGCTCGTGACGGCGAGATGTGTCAGCAAAATTAACACCCTAATCATACCATCCCAGTTTGAGTTCTCCTCGATCTGAGTTTTGCAGTTAGTTTGTCTTAAATTTAATGAATACCAACTTTGTTTCAAGCACAGAAGAATCTTGGCTATATATACCCAGTTGGAGTAAACCATTCGATCTATCACCAAAGTTGGTATTACAGATTACCGCTATCATTCAAATTTCAGCTTGTTTTTTTATCAGTTTAATTTACCTTACAATCCACAAAACTCACTTTCAGCATGTTCTCTACCTTGTGACACGATGAACCCAGACCCAGCTAGCATCTGCTCCCTGAGATTCTTGATTGCCAGGTACCTCTCCTCATCGTGTTCAAAGTTCAGCATCCCATTGCTGCATCCTTCTGCCCAGTCTCCTTCCAGTAGTTCTTCACCCGTTTCCTGAAACTTTCTGTCAAAGCCGCAGGAGCTACCACTATCCATCCCTCTCTGTGAAAATGATGCATTCCTCTTCCTGTCCTTTGAGGTTGGAGTGTAACTCCAGGTGTAGCTCTTGCTGTTGCCATCGACGTTCAGCTCAATCGAGTGCATGTCACTTCCTTCAGATGCCGAGTCGTCATCGTCATCGTCTTCATCCTCATCATCGCACTCTCCGCTGTTCTTCTGAATGTTATCAGCAATTTCCCTACCGTTTTCGGATGCGCGGAGCAGTGTCATTTGATCATTTGACTGTCCATGCTCCTTCTTGGTGTCCAAATATGCCTGAAGCTCGTCGTGCAGCTGGTTGATGGCTGCGTTTTTCTCCTCGAACTGAAGCCGTGCTTCCAAGAGCTTCATCTGAACCCGCTGCTCGCGCCACTCGTCTGCGAGCTGGAGCATCTCCCGCTCTTTCTGAAGCTCTTCTTGAGCCTTCTCGGTTTCCTTCTTCAGTGCCTCCACCTCAGCCTTGTCTTCGCCGATGCCTCTGATGAGCTCGGTGCAGATCTTCTCCACTCTGCCTTTGGATTTTCTCTCCCTCTCAAGCTCCTTCGTCGCCGCCTGCAACGAGGCCTCGGTGTTGGCTAATGCCATCCCCAGCTTCTTGTTTATCCTCTCTGCTCTTCTCCTGGACTTCTTCTCACTGTCCAGCTCTGAAACTATATATTGGAGAGCATTTGCCACCTTCTCCTTCTGCTTGCTCTTCCAGGATTCCATCTCTTGCACAAGCTGCTTCTTTAAGCTCTCGATGCCCTCTGATTTTTGTTCCTTGATAAGCTTTCGCACATGAGAGCGGGCAAGATCAATCTCGGAGCGTAGTGCTGAAATCAGTGAAGTGGTTGATGGATTCAGTTCTCCAGGCCCCCAAATGTGTGCTAGTACTCTGACAAGTTCTTTAGAAGCAATCAGGCTGTTATGCAGGTCATGAAGGTTGACTGTTTTCTCTTGAGGACATCTTGAAACATCATCTTGGGAGCATGTGACAATCTGAAATGGATTAACCAAGTTTTAGTAACTTCAAGTATTGCCATAGTGTGAATTCTTAGGATAAGTGAAGTGCTCATATGAAACAAGCAAAATTGAAGCATTACCTAACCCAATAATACTTTTTTTTTCAGATAATGAACCCAGTATTACTAACTACCTTTTCTCATCGATGCTTGCAAAATTGACAGCTTTCAGGAAAAAAAATTACTCAAGTTTGTATTTTGCAGAAAATATAGGAAACATGTTGTGTCAGTTTTTGTTTTGTTAGCTCTATGAAGACTCAGGAAGACACTTGTAGAACACAAACTGAGTGATGCTGCAAAATGACTAAAATACCTGGATTACTATTTCTTATTGTAACTGAGAAAGATCACAATCTCCGTGGGGAAAAAAATAATAGCACACGGGTTGTCCATTTTGAAAGCCAGAAGCATCATGAGTTCATGACTGATGTCAAACTAGGCACATGCAGACCACATAATCAAACAGCTCTTAGGATGTACTGTCCTAAATTCCTATTGGTTTTCTAATTAGAAACTAGCTTCAACCAACCTGACAACCATCCGATTTGCCTTCTCAAAGGCTTCAAGATTGTTCAACTTTTGATCAATATAAGCATGTGCCACATTACCTAAAAGGCAGCAACTGCTAAATAACTAATCCTGCCTAACAGCCTAGACATTGGGAAAGTGTTTTCGAGCCATTTTGGCTGGCGAATAAACTAATCAAGTTAGTACAAGCCTAGCTGATAGCCAGTTGCAGAAGTGGACGAGGTGCATGTGCATATCAAAATGCCTTCTTGGAGATGCTTCTCACTTTACCTTCTGCTTCCATGTTCACAAATCCAGGTCACATTTTGAAAAAGTGTACTGTGTGGAATTAATTGTCAAAAGTTTTACCCTTTTCTGAAGTAGATGCTCCTTTTACATGCAACTAGGTCGGGTTTTGTTTGTAAATCCTTAAGTATCTTCAGAACTCAGCAGTCAGCACCTATGCAGCTTATCAGGTGTTCACTGAACTCACTTGGAGAAGCAAAGCATATCGGATTTGTTTATGTTTGCGTTGCATATTATGGAAACCATTGAACATATAAGGATGTGCTACACTGAAACAAAAGTGTCAAAAGCTTTCGCCTTTCCGAAATGAGAGATTATTCCTTCTAGTTGTGATTAGCTAGGTTTCATTTAAAAAAAAAATCATCGGTGGCTCGAGACACAAAAGCCTATTCGGACACTCTATCAGCATAGAACTAAACATTTGCAGCTGGTCACATCAATGTGACTGAAACAAGAAATTAGGTAGATTTGGAACTCAGATGCAAACATGGTGGCCTACATTGCTGGTCTCAATTCAACTGAACTATAATGACCCACCCTTGGCCTACATTTTGTACTCGCAGATTTCCATCTAACTGAACTGTAATCCCAAGTGAGATTTTCAATCAGAACCCAAACATGAGTGCAAATGCAAATCAACATATGTCCAATGTCACAACTGAAACTACTGAAAGTCTCATCAAAATTGAAGCTCTGCAAAAAAAAGAAAAAGTTTACCTCCATTGCTGTGGCGTTGCTCATCACATCTGTAGAGGAGAGCCAGTGGCCATGGCCGCCGCCGTGCCAGCTCCCCTTCACGTCGGCCTCCAAGATCTTGCTCCTGCTCCTTCTTGACCCCTTGGACACCTGAAAATCGAAACAAGATTCGATGAATCGAACAGCCACCAAAACCAAATTAATCGATAGATTTGGGAAAATGCAGCAGCGTGGCCTTCACTCGCCTCCGTCGGCGCGCGGCTGCGAGGAAGCAGGCCGCTCCGGCGCGGCGGCGGCGCCGCCGCCGCGGCGTCCTCGCCGAACAGCCTCTCCTTGTCCATCTGCCAGAACGCGCCCACGAGCCTCCTCGCCGGCCGCGCCCCGTCCGCCGCGGCCGCGGCTTGGGCGCGGCAATGCCGGCCCCGGGTCCGCGACGACGCCTCCGACATGGCCGCCGCCCCGCTCCGCCGCCGCAGCAGCACCGCCGGCGCCCTGAACCTGAGCTTCCTCGCCGCGCCCGACCCGCCCGACGACGACAGCGCGCCCCGCTTCCGGATCCTGTCCAGCCGCCTCACCACCGCCCCCGCACCCACCACGCCGCCGCCCTCCTCCCCGCCGCCGCGCCTCCGCATTGCCGCCGCCGCCGCCACGCCGCAAGATCCGCGCCGGCTTCTTCTCTCGCCAAGAAGAAGCAACGGTAAACAAGAGCACAGTCAGCAACGTCGTCAGCAAAGCAAAGCGAGTGGTCAAGAACTGAGCTGAGATGCAGCTCAAGTGAAGTGAAGTGAAGAATGTCACAATCAAGCTGATCAAAGGGGAAAGAGCAAAAGCGAAAGAAAAGAAAAGAGAAAAAAAGATGAGATTGATGGATGCTGGAACCAACCACAGCTTTAAAGGAAGGAATAAGAAGCAGCAGCAGCAGCAGCAGAAGCAAGAGCAGCAAAAGGGGATGTGACATTGTGACCATGATCACACACACACTCACATCAAAATGCCACACAACACAACACAACCCAATCCGGATTAATTTTTTTCCCAGAGTAAAAATTTGCTCGCAGAAAGAAAGAACCAAGAGAAATGACAAAACTGAAAAGAGGAGGAGGAGGTTGCTTGCTAGCAGCAGCAGCAGCTTTCGCGAGGACCGAGGAGTAGAATACAGTTACATACGGTTCCAAGAAACTCAAGAACCGAGAAATGTGTTGTGCGTGTGCAGCCAAGAATTACTACAGTTACATATGGAATGGAAGAGGAGGAAGAGGAGAGGGTTAGTGTAAGTGGGGGTACTAGCTCCTCCTACCCATCAATGGGAGAGGCGTCCGTGGATGGATGCTTGCCTGAGCTGTGTCAGCAGCAGCTGCTGCTGGTGGCTGGCGCCATGATGAGGATGAGGAGCAGGCTGCTGCGGCTCCTGGGAATGCCTGTGATGGCAGCAGCAGCAGCGCACACGGGTGGGTGGAGAAGTGGACAGGGATGATGCGCGCAGATCGTTGCGGTCGTGGATGGACGCGCGTGCGGGGCTTCGCGTCCTCGGCTCGGTTCGGGGTGAGCTGTAGTGTACAGTAGTGGACACGCCCCTAGGCTACGACGTACGGGTGATGGATGCATGGGCGGGGGAGAGTACGTGACAAACCGGCGTGTTGTACTACTGCTGGTGCAGTGTGCGTACGGTACGGGGGCGTGAGGGGAGGGGTGAAAGTAGTCGCAGAAATTCCCCGTCTACCGAGCGTTATTTTCTTACGAAGGGTACCGTTTCAGATCATTATTGTTTTTCTCTATATATAAATTTTGTGTTTCTTTTAGATCGTATTAATATCGGTACTGAATAGTTCAAATGATGAATATGGTTAATTACCAATCGATTGAGCGTTGTTTATGAGGAAAAAACGGCTATCAATTCCGATCATTTTCGACCGGGTCTGTACTGTGGTAACTGGTTGGTACGAATCGGCACCACAGGGTCCACAGTTCTTGCCCCTACGAACCTTAGAGCCTATTCACTTTGATGTCATTTTCAACCTTACCAAATTTTGGTAAAGTTGCTAAAAAAAGTGGATATATTTAGTTTGCTTTTAAATTTTGGTAACTATATAAGAAATCCTGCTAAATTTTTGGCATAGTTGCCAATGCCAAAATTTGGTAAGGTTTTCTTTGGCATCAAAGTGAACAGGCCCTCAAGGACGTTTGAGCTGTCTTGCACCCTCTGTAAAAAAAAATAAATAGTCACTTTTAGGGATAAATTCTTCAGATATATCGATACTGAGTATTTAGAGCTATGTTAGCTTAGTGTAATATTCTGTTCAGGTATATCGGTCCCATCGTTTGGGTTTATTCGTGAAATAAGCCAAACAACATATTTAAAAATAAAAATAATTTATGAATAAAACTTTTATATACGTGTTATTAGCGATCTAAAAGCAAAGACTGAAAATTAAACTTCGATGAAAACACCGAAAATTCAATTTTAAATTTAAGGTTGAAAATTTAAATTTTGGTTGATATAAAAGTATATGCATAAGAAAAAGATGAGACTGTAGGTTGTGTGCAATGCAGCTTTAAAGGACTGACAAATAAGAAAAGAAATAGATTACTACTACGTACTCTCATAACAACTCCTCCCCTCTCTGGCTTAAAATATAAGAATCTAGAATCGTATGAGACATTTATTACTACTAACAGTCTAGATAGGTAACCCATCTAGATTCGTAGTAGTAGAAAATATCTCATTCAATTTTAGGATCTTATATTTTGGGACGAAGAAAATATTAGCGTGGTTTCATTTTTAAAAAAGAAAACTGCCATGCATGATTCTACCTAGTCCTTCCCAAGAAATAAATATTCAAAATTTGTTAAAAAAATATACTAATTTCTTTATCTACATTCTCTTAACTCTTCTAGACGAATCATAAATTCATAACCTTTCTTGTTTAATTTCTCCTTTTATTTCTTTTTCTCAACCAATTACAACATTATATTATTTTATTTTACCTATTTTCTTAATATTCGTGTTAACTCTAAATCCTTTTATATTTTAGGACGGATATAGTATAAAACATGACTAGCTAGCAGATAAGAAAAGTAAAAACATAGGAACAAAATAAGTTTTTATTTAAACGGCTATCAAATACTAAGTTTTATCGCTGAACTACCTTTACTAACCCTATGTGTATTATAGCCCTAACTACTCCTGGCCTATAAAAGTACACATTAATAGCAAATGGACAACGGAAGGTTGCACTAGTGGCATATACGCAATTAGTTGTTTAGTTTAAACATAACTTCCAAGGACATACTCTAGTGTGGCACACACTACTCTTATGTTTCTCTCCTTTACAAACATTCTAGCAGATATGTTGAATTTCCTTTTATCTCCCTAGGTATAATGGCGCAAAGCATTGTCCCACCAAGTCACCAACTTGCAAAATGCACGAAATCAATGTGGTTGTGAATCGAAGGATAGTGGACTGAACTTCTTGCACATATATATGGGCATGGATGAAGATGGTGCATACTATCTTAAGTCTTATCTTACATATCTAGGGGCTGTTTAGGGGAGCTTAAGATTCTAAGAAATAGCTGGTTGGTAGCCAGCTTCTGAGAATCTGTAAAAGCTGGGTTTCTCAGGCCAGCTTCTAGTTTATTTTCTGGATTCTACAGCTACAGCTTCTTAGAATCTGGAACAAAAGTTGAATTATTTGGGGGAGCTTCTGATTCTATAAGAAGCTAGAAGCTCCCCAAACAGACCCTTAACCATCCATTTCCGGTGTATACGTGAATAACGTATAGTTTAGCTTGAATCCTACACTCTTTGGCCGCATCTTGCCGTCTTTCTCTCATGCTCTACTTAATTGGGAAGATTGATAATTGTGAACCTCATGTGCCCACGACGCGACGAATGGTGATCGCATGCGTTGCACGTATGATAATGTCACTTTTTTTTTTCCTTTTTGGGGTTCAGTTACAATATGTCAGAATGTGCCACTATTCTACACTATATGTACCGTTCTTCTCTGTCAGGTTCTTCGAACTATTTTATATAATATGCCTCTATTTCTCATTCATTCCAACGGGGACATCTCCATGTTCTATGGGACCAGCAGTAGTTGAGGCCTTCTTTTTTTGCTGGAGGTTCAGATGAATCATGCACGCAAGAAAAACAACGAATTCCCCTGTTGCTGGTTTGGACAAATAACGCCCACAGACAAGACTCTTCGACAGGCGTACTTCCAATCATACATACTATACTTTCATGCCGTATTCTACATCAGTTTTGCTAGTGGACAACACCAACGGTTTCAAAAAGACAATGATATGAGATAGTACGTACTTCTACAAGATAAGTACTCTCAATTGCGTATTATTGCAAGAACAGCAAGGAGAAATACCATTACCATGGTAACCTGACAATGAAAACAATTACAGGAAAAAGAAATTACTGTGTCGAGAGTAATCAAAGTGTCGAACTCAAACATGATGGCCGTGAATCTTCTTCCATCAAAACTAAATGCCAAAAACTAGGCAGCGTTTGCCAACAGAAGGATTTACAATGTCAAGCACAACAGAACTCCATAGCACGGCCACAAAAAATAGGCCAGAAAGCATACATAAGTTGGTACACTAGAGGAACTCGCTATTAAAGGCCTGCACATGCTGTGTGATGGACCCTGAAACTCACATGATGACAAAACACCATGGGAAAGGAGATAAAACATCGTCAAATCCTGTACATGGGGAGTAATAGAGCTGGTTTTCTTCCACTCCTTATCGGCCATTTTCAGGAGGAATGGCTGTTTTACTCACAATGCCCTTGCTAAAATAGTCTGCGACGACAGAGAAGCCATCCTTTGAACCCCTCAGCTGCCTGAAGAAGAGATCATGGTCTCTAGCGTTATGTTCTAGCTTCTGCTTTGCCTCCATGACAGATCTATATTCGGGAGCACATTCTGGGCATTCTTTCTCATTGTCCCCAAGGCAGCGAAGGTGGAAGGAGTGCATGCACATGAAGTGGACCGCAGGAAGGTCAAGCGTAAAGGTGCACGTCGTACACTTGCTAAGCTGAAAGACCTTTGCGTTTGTCTTGAGGTCTTCTATCTCCCTTTTCATCAGTTCTGTCTCATCCTGTATAAACAAAAAAGATGTTATCAATCGTTATCTATTTGTTATCGTTTCTATGTAGGTTGTTGCTGGGATTTAGTAACGTTTTCTGTCATCTTTCCAAATAAAGGATGGCACTCATCATTGTTAAGCGCTAACAAATTATTTATCATGGTAATTATGTCAACTCAAATATATATTACACACAAAAAGTAACCCGTGGTGCAAAGTGTGTATCAACACTCAAACAGCTGGTTAATCATGCTACACTGCATGATTAAATAAATTCTAAGGTCATCAAACTGACTAACTGAGAGACAACATACACATGGAATGTGTGATGCAAAACAAATTGCTGAACTCAGTAAATTAAAACAAATTTGTCCTGAAACACATTTCAACTGAAATCTAGTGTTTAAGTATATCCATACAAAGGTTCATCACATGGAAAGGCACCTTGTGAGACCACATGCCAATAGCTGTGCAACAGCCACATCTAACTACAAAGTTTAGGACATTGACTATACAGAGTACAAAACTGTATGAAAATAATTTAATGACTATATCAAGTATGACAGCTCAAACATATTTTAGTGAAATATATGAACAAAAAATCCTCTAATATTTGTATTTTTGGCTTGAACATGTTTTGTATTGTATCTAGCACCAATAGAGGAAGGCTTTTCAATCTTATGTTGCAGCAAACTAAACTATTAATGGATACCAATTCCTTCTCCCAACTATTGTAAAAGCTGCAAGGAAAAAGGTAGCACAGTTAAATTGCCAACCTGGTACTTGTCAATAGATTTCCTATCTTCTTCGATTAGCTTTGATTCTTGCTCAAGTTTGCGGGCAATGTAATCCTTGACAACTGACAGTGTCAAGCATGGGTTTTTCGACAATGTCTCTAGCACAACAATAGGAGGCAAAACATCCTCCTTTTCAATATAGGTCAATACCTCCTTGACCTCTTTAGAGCAATCTTCCCCAAGCTCACTAAAATATTTCAACAGATCACCCCAAAGAGATGGATCCCCACCTTGAGATGAATCTCCTAGCTTCTTACAGCAGGCAATTAGACCCTCGTGATCATGAGCTTGCTTGTAGCAACTAATAACTTCTTTGAATAGTTTTAGTTTCTCATACAGAAACAATAGCCCATCTTTGAATGCATTTGCATTACAGATGATAAGAGCAAGATCAACATCATACAGAGGATCATCCATCTCAGATGTCCATGCAGACTTGAGCAATGCAAGCCCTTTCCTTTGCCTATCAACAATATCCTTTGCGACATTCATATCTTCCTTTCCCAGATTTCCTTTCTCCCTTGGGCCAGATTTATAGCCATTTGCAACTTCTTTACCTTTTCTTTCCTTACTATTCTGCTCCTCAAAGCCATTTTCTTGTGACATAGAAGGGAAACTTAAATCTTTTGATATATATAACTCCAGAAGGGTGTTATGAATTTCTGTTTGAGCAGGTGAGTCCTTTACTGCTTTGGTATAATTCTCTAGAAATTCCATGAGATGTTTCGGGCTGTGTACAAATATGTTTACAAAGTCCATTGGAGAAGGTATCATAAGCAAATGCATGCTATTTGAACCTCTTCTTGTCATAGGATCTCCACCATCTGTACAGAGTCTCAACAGTATTTCAACTGTTTCAGCAGGTCTATGCTCCACAAGAATTTTCCCATACTCTTTTACAGTAAGACCTGCTTGATTCGCCTCAAGGCTAGATATATACTGCAGTGCCTCATCATATCTACCAAGATCCTCCAGTAAAATTTTCAAATACAACTCATGCCTCCCAGCCTTTTTGGCAACAAACATAGCATGCTCATGATATCCAGCTGCACGACATACTCTTATGGCAGTTTCCACATCAAACTTGATTTCACCTACCCCATCTTCATCTTTGATGAAATGGTTAAGCTTCTCCACATCTTTCAGTTTAGTATAGCAATTCAACAGAAGGGTGGTGTGGTCTTTGGATGCTAACCCTCGATCATGTAACTTCTCTAAATAGTTTGTGAGATTGTAGATGCGTTTTGCATCAAGGAACTTCTGTATAACATATGATGGTTCAAGATGGCCAATGGTGTGGATATATTGGGACATGGCCTCATCATATTCCTGTTTTCCATAGAGATGGTCACCATACTTCCTTAGAACCTCAGCAGTTGAAGCAGGATCGGCCTGTTGACTTTGTACAAGATTGATTGCGACTGTATACAGATTTTTCTTAAACAACATATCAAGCTTACTCTCCATATCTTTCTCTCCAATGCAAAGAATCTTTTTATCGCTCATTATCAGAATAATATATCCCCACTCAGAGACCAAGTGTGAAACATCCCCCACTGGCATGCTATGTGCAATCAACCGATTCTTAAGATCATATACATTAAGAGTATTCTTCCGGCTCCTCTGATCTTCAATAATGCATAGTAAATAGCCCCGAAACCATCCAACAAACTTTTTCTCACCATCAAAGGCCCAGCAAGGACCTCTACCATCAATTTCATAGAAATACACAGCTTCAGGTCTACCAATAATCAGATCCTGTATAGACGATAGATGGACATAAGGATTGCATTTCACCAAGATCCTAGTGAAAAATGTACTGGGAACAGCACAGGCATGAATGCAATAATCAAATGCATGTGGAGAGACCCATGTCTTGTAGCTAGCTTGCAATAAACTATAATCTATTATGGGTTTACATGGTTAGTGCCAATTTTCCTATGCATTATTTCACAATTGTACACTGAGGTGGTTTCGAGCAGCCACAAGGCAGGGAAAACAGGCAGTCACAAAGGGATCTAGACTTTGCGTCACAAGAGTCAAGCTACATATTGATTTTGGTTAGCCGCAGAGCTAAGTTAGCTGCATCTATCCCTTAGTTAAACTTGGTCAGACTAATTTTACTTTAGTATGATTAGTGTATGTGCCTTTGCCTTGACTTTACTTAAGGCTGTCAGTCTGTGATGAGAAGAGATACATACATAACTTCCATATAACATAGGGGATGGTGGCAAGTGTATGGTTAGTCAGTCACCACAATTCGCATGCAATTTTTTGCAGCAAATGTGAGGCTGAGGATCCCATATTTTTCCAGGAACACATTAGCTTATCAGAAAACTACACAAATATCATGGGTAAGTTGGGTCAGATTACCAAACAAGCCCTAAATCAGAGAGAGTTGCAAGCAGATTTTGAACAACATGTGTATAACTATATGATTAGAGGGGAACGACAGACAAACATGAACAAAAACAGAAGATGACATCCTTACCATGCGGTCACTCATCGCCACAGCATTGGTCTCACAACCAATCTGATCAAGCGTTTGCCTCCTCGGTGGATGATCATGCAAGCTAAACAAGGTTATTGAACTAGGAGTTACAGCAAATAACTGGTGTGCTTGCCCCTCAACTCGGAAACCAAGACCAGTAATAGGTAAACTGGTGCCATCCTCGACTTGCAACATGAATCGCGTGATACGCTCACGTGCGATGTCACCTTTGATGCAATAAATGGAACCATTGTCCAGTCCAATCGCAATTAGCAGTATAGGAGGTGCTTCTTCTAGAACCACAAAAGATGTAATCTGAAATGGTCCGCAATACATGATAATTAGATTAGAGCTAGAAAAAGGATGTTAAGTACATAACATAGACACAAAATTTCGCAGGAGAATTTACCTTTGCCTGAGGAAATTGCTTAGTGAAGATGCGCAAAATTTGAACACAGAAAGGACTTGTTGTACTTGAACCTTCTTCTTGTACTTTATCAAGATCGAAAACTTTTAGACAGATTGCTGACGATAGTGAAGATGGCTGATCATCATCGCCAACCGTGATAAGAACATTCCTTTGCTGCTCAGTTGTTAAATACCACAGTTAGCTTCTATTATCATGATAAAACAATGCAATTAGTAAATGCAATACACAAGAAGGCATTAAAAATAATACTAACAACCAGTACATATTTAGCAGGCATATTAGTGAGAAAAGAAAAGAAAGCCATTTTGTCTATAAGACATTAAGACTAAAAGAAACAACTAATGGTACTTGCAAAACTATCAGCAACCGAAATTTTATTCTTCAAACCCTGACCCTAAGCCTCAGAGAACCAAATGATTCAACAAGTTACTTGCAAATTGTATACAAAAATGTCTCGCATTGTTCAGGGTCGTAGGAGAGTGCGCCCGCTACTCACAAGTCAAAATTAGTGATCGATTACATATCAATGGCTTCTTTTACCCCCTAACTATACAGGATCCAGCACGATAGACAACACCGGAAGCAAATCTACCGGAGAATTGAATCCTGAAAGGGATCCCACTATCCCAGTACCTTGAGCTGCTGGAGGAAGAGGACGGAGGAGGCGTAGGCCTGGAAGCCGTAGGAGAGGCGGAACCCGCGGTCAAGGAGCCCCACCGTGCCGTCGTCGCAGCCGACGGCGACGCGGCCGCGGCCGCCGGAGCAGCAGCTGACGCGGGAGGCGATCTCGCCGGGCACGCCCCGCCCGGCCGCCTTCTCCTCGAAGAACTCGAACTTGCGCCACTGGTACATCCCCGCTGCCCGAGCAGAGAGAGAGAGGGGGAGCCCGCCGGAGGGAGGGCGGAAGGCCTTTCTCCGGCGAGGGATCGCTGCGGCGGCGGCGGCGACCGGCGGAGGAGGGGCGTGCGGCTCGATCGCTGGGTCGGATTGGATTGGATCGGACTGGATTCGGATCGGACGCGAAATCCTCGAAGTGAACTCCACCTGTTCGCAGACTGGGCCCAAACCGGCCCAAATATATGGTCCATATAGTTGGGCCTAGTTGGGTGGGCTAAAAATTATGTCTATCCGGGCGTGGTATATGGATGGATGGGCCTAGTAAGAAAAAATGTTAGGCCATTCTCAGCGATGAATGGCAGCAAAAGCAGAGTGCATGGTTGATTGTACAATTTCTTTCCCTTAGGCTGGATCGCAGCATAGAAGCAAAACATTGATGCGAAGGATAAGAGCAGGTACAATAGTAGGCTATTAGCCAGGTATAAATATATTTTAATGAGATAAACGATAAGAGAGAAGAGCAGCAGGCTACAAATCTATAGCCAGCTGCAGCACGGACTCCAATACACACTGTGTGTATGACAGGTGGGACCATATATTAATAGTATAGTAAGCAACTATTGTATGAATTGGCTATTAGATTGGCTATAGATCAATTGGAGCTAGTAGTGGGCGGTACTATTAAACTTGCTCTAAGCGATGTGGGAAATATTTTGACAATTAAAAGCAGGAGAGGAGGAAGAACATCCCCTAGCATCTTTAGCAAGTTTATCAGCTAGCTTATTAAGTTGTCTTGGAATCCAATGGACTCTTAATGATCCGGCAAGAAAGCTTGGATTTGACTCCAAATGGGCAGTAGAATCCAATGTCCTGGATCCTCTTGAAAGTTCTTTTTCCTAGCCGTGTCCGCAAGAGTTGAGCAATTAGTAAGGAAGACTGTATCTGCAAAGTTCAGAATCAAGGCAATTTCCATGGCTAGCTGCAAGGCTAGCAGTTCAGATTGCAAAGGGGATTCTGCCAAATGACTATAAGCTTTGATAAAAAGAGCATTGTGAGTGTTAGGCAAATGGAAGAAGATTCCAATGCCTATTTTGTTATCATCCCAAGAAGCATCTATATAACATCTATTTCCTTCCAGCAACTTTTCCATTCCTCTCTCCGATGAAGATTGCTCCATATCATCATCCTGCAAATGAGGTTGCTCAATGTAGGAAGCTGATCATTGCCTCTGCTGCAAAACAAACTTGAGATGGCTCCTGAATTTTACCCTAAAACTTGAGATCATTTCTAGCCTTCCAAATCTGCCACATGATTGTGAAGATTCTATTTAAAGTGGCTTTGTTAGAACAGTTATTGGAAATGTAAGCAATTATGTGAGCCATAGAAACATTATCAGAGAAAATATCAGTGCGGAGATTAATGTCAGAAATCATCCAAGTGATCTTGCTAAAAGGGCAGCCGAAGAAAAGATGAAAATCATTTTCAGGCATACCACAACGGAAGCAATTCGGAGAGATTTCACTAACCCTGAAATTTAGCCTGGTTGCAGTAGGCAAGGCTCCCATCAGCAGTCTCCAGGTAAAGATTTTGATTTTTGGAGCCATACATTTATCTTTTCTTACCTGTTTCATAATCGTTTTTAACTTGTTCACTTACCTAGGCATCTTGAGGAGCTTCTCTCTTCCAGATTTCTTTATATGCACTTTTTGAATTACATTCTCCGTTAGATGTGAATTTCCAGCAAAGCCTGTCTGCTATATTATCTTGGATAATTGGTACCTGCAAAATTTTGTTGACTACCTGTTGCTCAAAGACGGAGTTCAACTTCTGTATATCCTAGCATTTGTCTTATGTCCAGAGATCTGCAACATTATTAGGCAATTGAACTTGCATAGAGTCTAGTTTTAAGAAATCATGGATATCAGCATTTAGATCACACCAAGGTTAGCTCCAAACAGACACACTTCCATCAGCTAACTGCCAAGACACAGAATCCTTGAGAGTTTTCCTGAGATTCAGAATCGAGCTCCAAAAGATAGATTTGGGAGAATTCTTAGAGGCTCTCCAGAAGGAAGTATTTGGGAAATATTTACCTTTCAGGATTTGAGATACCGGCTCATCAAGCTTACTGACTAGTCTCCAGGCAGCATTTAGAATCAGGCTCCTGTTCGCCATCTGAATATCTCTTATACCTAAACCACCATCCTGAACAGGTTTGCAAATATCAGACCAGGATTTAAGGCAGAGAGGCTTCTTGTCCTGACCCTCCCTCACTCCTGTCCACCAGAAGATTCTGATGATAGAAGTGAGTTTGGCAATGATCTTTTTGGGAAGGAGGGTGGTAGCCATGTAATAAACAGGAAGGGAGGCAAAAACAGTTTTGATTAAGGTAAGCCTACCAGCATGGGAAAGTTTGTTAGCCTTTAGATTAGTAAGCTTGGCTTTGAATTTATCCACAATGAATTGGTAGACAAAAATTTTTGTTCTATTAGTGACAAAGAGGGGATGGCCCAAATGTTTGGTATTGGAATCAACAGAAGCAACATGGAAGATGGTTTTGATGGAATTCTGGATGTAAAGAGGAGTGGATTTGCTGAAAAGGATGGCAGATTTACTCCAGTTGGGAGTTTGGCCTGATTTGTTGCAAAAATCCTCAATGATTTCTTTGATTTTTCTTGCTTCGATCTCAGTAGCTTCACCTGTAATGATTAAATCATCTGCATAAAGGAGAGAGTGAATGGCCGGCCCCTGAGGGCTAAGTTTAATGCCTTTCATCTGATTATTAAGGAGATCCTCATTAAGCTGATCAGAAAGCTCATTAAGAGCCAACACGAACAGATAAGGAGAAAGAGGACAACCCTGTCTAACACCTCTATTAGCATTGAAAGCATCATAAGATTGACCATTAAAGGTCACATAAAAGGAAGAGGAGCTGATGCAACCCTGAACCAAATTGATGAAATTAGAGTGAAAGCCCTTCTTTTTCATAGCAGAAGCAATGAAATCCCATTCCAATCTATCAAAAGCTTTGGAGAGATCAATTTTCAGCAGAAAACCTTTGTTTTTGAAAGAGTTAAGACCAAAGGAATGAACAATTTCCTGGGCAATAATAATGTTATTTGCAATTCTTCTCCCAGGAATGAAGGCATGCTAAGAGTTAAAGATTAGGTCAGGAAGTTTACCTTTGATTATGTTTGCAATGGATTTGGCAATGATTTTGTACATCACATTACAAAGACTAATGGACTTGAAATCTGCAGGGTTAGCTGGCCTGTTTTTCTTAGGAATGAGGACAATATTGGTTTTGTTCAGTTCTTTGGGAAGATTACCTGTGTTATAGAAGTCTTCAACGAGCTTCATGACGTCATCTTTTATCCATCCCCACGCCGCCTTGAAGAAGGCTACATTCATCCCATCAGGCTCAGGAGAGGCATTGCTCTTCATGTTTCTGATGATTTGCCAAACTTCCTGTTAGTCCGGGCATTGCCAGTCCATTTGGGCTGGGTCATCATTACCCGAAGAATATGTACTCGGCCTGTTAGTTCTGTCTGAACAAAAGAGATCAGTGAAATAATCAATGAAAACATTAGCAATGTCATCAGGGTTAGTAACCAAATGATTATTAGACATGATAGAAGTGATTCTATTTTTCCTTCTTCTCTTGATGGCGGCTTGATGAAAAAATGAGGTGTTTCTGTCTCCATCCTTGACCCAATGCTTCTTGGCTCTTTGCCTATGATGATCAGAGAGCTTCTGTAGGAGAGAGTCGTGTTTGGCAACTAGCTCTTTCTCCTTCTCCACCTGCTGATGTCTGTCATTGGAAGACTAAATGTCTAGGATTTCTTGTTCAGTGTTACTACCTCCGTTTCAGGTTATAAGACTTTCTAGCATTGCTCATATTCATATAGATATTAATGAATCTAGACGTATGTGTGCTTAGATTCATTAACATATATATGAATGTGGGTAATGCTAGAAAGTCTTATAATATGAAACGGAGGAAGTAGCAATTTGCTGTTGAAGAGGTTTCTTCTTTTTGCTCCAAGATAAGAGATTGAGACCTAATTTCTACGCTTTTAAAACAAAAGAACCATTAATTTTGTCCCAGCTATTTTTGGCAAAGTCATGAAAGTCATTCTCAGTTAGCCACCAATTCTCAAACTTAAATGAATTTTTTGGTTTTCTGTGAGAAGGATTAAGTAAAATCAAAATAAGAGCATGATCACCATAAATGAAAGGGAGATGATAAATAGTAGTATTAGGAAAATTAGCACACCATTCAACATTAGCCAGGCATCTATCTAGTCTTTCATAAATAAGATCTCTACCTGACCTTTTATTAGTTCAAGTGTAAGCAGGGCCATTATAACCCATATCCATCAAGCCCACATTTCTCAGATGATTACAAAACATGGAGATACGATTAAGATCAGGGAGAGCATTACCATACTTCTCCCAAGGGTTCATAATGTCATTCAGGTCACCCATACAAATAGTAGCACGGTGATTACTTTGATTAACAAAACTACTAATCTCCTGCCAAATTCTGCTAGAACTATGATGAGTAGGATCACCATATATACACAAAAGGTTAAATAACATGAGTGGCCTGGGACCTGAGTCTGCCACTTCAGTAGCATAGTTGAAAAGACCGGACCAGTGAGTGACCCAGTCAACCTCCTGTTCACCGGTCCGATGGTTAGATCGATGGCTAATTGATACTCCATCCGTACCAAAATATAAGAGATTTAGAAGGGATATGATACTTCCTAGTATTACGAATCTGGACAAAGAGACTGTCTAGATTTGTAGTACTGGTGTTGGTGACATGGGGGCGAGGGTATCGTGACTAGAGGCTTGGGTAGCCGCGGTCACCCACGTGGCCTGACCCCCTCGGGGGGGTCGGGCCCGAGGATGATGTGGCCACCCCTCCCTCTGTCTCCCCTAGGGGTCAGGCCGCCCCTGTTTCGGCCCCGAGGGCTGGGGCGCCCCGACCCCCCGTGATTTTGGCGCCACGTGTATGGGTTAGGTGAGCACAGCGGGGCTCACCTAACCGCATTTATTGCGGGTTGGACGAGCGCGCCACGCCGCATTTAATGCAGCGCAGCGCACGCTTATCCGGTCCGTGACCGGTCGCAGTGTGTGACCGGTCACAGACCGGTCAGATCGCGGGTTAGGTGGCAACAGGCAGCCTGTCACACGCCTTGCCCCGTCCCGTCGGAATGATGAGAGCCTCCAGGCACTCGTCCCTAGCCGGAGCCGGCGTGCTAACTCCTGGAGTTGGTGTGTCAGTCCCGGCCAGATTCATTCCAGGCTTCATCGCAACCATGGCAAGGAAGTCATTGTATGAAGAAGGGCAGACGTGCGGCATGCTAAACTGACGCGCGGTGAACAAGAATGACCGGTCTGTGACTGGTCTGACGCCGGTCACGTCATCGGCAGACAACCGTGTTCCCACGTTGCATCTGCTTCCGGCGGAGTGGAGGTAGATATGACCCATCCCATCGGAGGGTCATTCGGACAGCGGCCATTGCAAATCTCCACCCATTAATGAAGGAATGACAGGGTTATCCCCTATGTCAGGCGAGTGACGGCGCTGGGCCTCACTCAAGGACAAGTTGTGATTTAGCTTCCAGGCGAAGGCGCGAGCCAAGTCTTGGTCAAGATAGGGTGGGTCCCCACCCAAAAGAAGAGTAGGTAGAAGTGGTGCATGTGGTATCCCCTTGAGATATAAAAGGAGGACCTTGCCCACCGAAGAAGGGGGACTCTCAGACGACACTGAGGATACCTGAACTCGTAGAGGAGAGAAAGAGGAAGAGGGGTTCTAGAGCCTGAACTCTCTTGCTCTCCGGCTCTCTGTAACTCCTTCACACACAGATCCACCAGAACACAGGAGTAGGGTATTACGCTTCTCAGCGGCCCGAACCTGTCTACATCGCCCGTGTCTTGTGCATTTGCTCTCTCGCGAACATTCCACAGATCGAGGGTGAAGAACCTCACTTAGCGCCCCCGGCCGAACCGGCAAAGGGGGGCCTGCGCGGTCTCCCGGTGAGGAGCCCCACGCTCCGTCAACTGGGTAATGTCACATCTCTCCAAAATACATTATATTATGAGTCGGAGGGATTACAAATGCTTTATATTTCCATATCAGCACTAACAACCCAATGCTTGGATCGCTACAGGAGTCAACTTCCAACCCACCCACTTGAGTTCAACTCCCCACCATTCCCCCTTTTGTTGGTGATTTTTGCCTAAATATCTAGTTATTTCGAGCATTCGAGTTAAATGGGCCTTCTTCCGGCTTATTTAAACAATTCAGATGTCTAGGCCAGTCCGACCAAGACCAATTTATCACGGTTCAGTAATCAATGCCAACTATGCTCAGTAGTAATCAATGCCAACTCGTCTCTCTCCTATCTCTGTCGTCAATAACAAGAGTATTAATTTACTGGAAAAGCTACAAATCTATCAACAGTTTTTTCTCTAAATATATTTCGATTTCTAGTCCATTGATCTTGTG